TCACAATAGATAAGATCTCTCGTACAAAAAAATGTCTTTAATAATTAATTTCAAATTATATAGCTTAATATTTAATTAACATTCGCCAGCAGTGAAATTGCTGTTAAGTGTCAATGGCAATAGTCGTTAGCAACTATCAATTCTTACATGATTAAATCATTACGTTATTCATATAGTTTTAATCTTTTAGAGCTATTATTTAAGATAAATAAAATGTAGGACTCACGACTAAAACTGCATAAGATCCTATATCCATATCGAATGACCACTAAACCAAACTTTAATATAATCACAATATTTAGTAGGACACAAAAATAGTTCGCATAATATTATAATCTGCACAGGCAAACGTGACCGATTTGGATGTTTCTATACGGGTATGTGTACTCTTTAAGATTAACTGATGACTACTTCCACAATCACCACCGTTGTTTGCCCATACTCGACGACCATCAACCCACGTCATGACACGCCTATTTTGCGAATGTCCCATATAATGGTTTACGAATAAAAGTTTAAAGTTTCCATTTTTACTAAATTAAATAATTTAAAGCAAAAATATTGGCCAAATGTCATTTTGGAATTTGGCTACAAAAATGAAATTGATAAATTTAATAAAATTTTGTTTTAAAAAACATAGATATTTAGAAGATTACAAGTTGAGACTTCCAAGTTTTAAACTAAAAGAGATATTACAATTTAATCGAACAGTATAGGTTTCTTATTTTCTCTTATATAAACATTAAATTATTTATCTAAGAGGACGTTATTTTTAAGCGCAGGTGTATTCTTTCAATATATAAAGATGCAAAAAAAAAGAATTTTTTAAAGCTTATGGGAAGTATCATTAATGAATGGTTTCTTTCATCAAATCGTTTTATGTCACTTATACACTTAAAACTATACTAGGAATATACATTATACATGAAATATGTATTATATTATACATTATTCCTATAAATTTATAGGAATTTACAAATTATATGTACAATCCTACTTAAAATTTAAAAAAAAGAGTTACATTATTTGAAATAATTTATTCAGTCGATGAAAATTTTTTATTTTTATTGTACAATATTTTTGGCTTTAATACAACTCTATTGTAGGGTGGTTAAATATTTTATTGTCTGTTACTCGAAAAAATTCTAATATAAACGATTTCTATAGATTGATTAAAAATGAATTACCTTTCATTATTAAAGTTTTAATATTTTATGCTTACTTTTGAAATGAAAATTATTGTAATTTTTGATCATCTATTGATATACTAATAATAACGCAAATAAGTTAAATGAGTGATAAAAAACCCAAGAGCGTATGCAAAAATTTGTCAAAGGAAACGAACATTTATTTTTTCATAATTTGGTTTCACTATACTATTAAAGCCAGTCTCCATTTTAAATCTAACCTAGCCACTGACATCAAAAGCTAAAATCTAAAAGGGGGTAGGCCTACAGGAAAACTAAAAAAAAAAAATAATTCCCTAAAAATTCAAATAAGTCCAATAATAGTAAAATCTAAAATCTTAGGTAAACAATTCAGCAAAAAAAACCTATACAAATTGTTGATCTAACCCTTTATTAAAATAATGTTGAGTATAACACTTTTATTATTATAAGTGAAGCTATAAAATTCATGCAAACAAAACCTCGGGCAAGTGTCATTGGCCATACTATAGATGCAAAACGAACATAAACCATGTGGGCGTCCGTCCATATGAGGCAATATTATTAGTTAGTGGGTTTTCTTATGTCTCGTCATACAACAACATAGGTACATTAGATTTGACCATAGGTGGGTGAGTGACCTCAACACGTCTTAAAGTCAACATTATGTCACACTCACGCTCGATTCAGAAAAAATATTTTTTGGAGGAATTATAACTGTTTTATCATTTATAACTCTTAGATATCATTCTATCTAAATAAATAATAAATTAAGAAGAATTTCAAAGCTGCATTAATTTAAATAATTACATACATTAAACTCAACTCAACACATTTTAAAGTTTTTAGCTTTGTTGCGAAGCTGAAAAAATATTAACTCTACAATGATGTGCATTTTTTTAAGTCTGTCCATTCAAATTTTCAGATCTGACTAGACCAATTTTGATGGTTTATGCGTTATAAAAACTGAAAAATAATCTAGCTGAACCTATCAATGCCAAAAATTTGAAAAAAAATACTCCATTTTAGTAATTAAATTAATATCTTAAAATTTTTTTCCTGCATTTCAAAACTGCTATAACTATTTTTAAAAACTTGATCCTAATAAAATTTTAATGAAATATAAAACAAACAATAAGCTTTTGTTTTGCAAGCTTTTTATGAGTATGCTAAACTAAGTACAGAAAGTATTTGAATGTGATCAATCACACATACAAAAAATATTCCAGAAGATCTAACTACTTTTAACCTTTATCAAATTAATGCTCTTGAAGTGTACTATAAAATTAAAAAAAAAACATTGAGTAATTCAATGATAAATTTCTGCTTGGGTACTAAGTTATTGTATTAAAAGGTTTAGCTAAACCATATTTTGAGTTCCTATTGAAAAACTGGTAGTTTTGTTTCCATTTGCAATAAAAGTAGTTTGTATACTTAATATCATATATTGTTTTGTTATGTGAATACTTGCATGAAAAGCACATATAGCACTAAAGGTAAATGACTTTAAGTGTGAAAATGATTCACGAAATTGCACCTAAGTGCAACTAAAATAAAATGTTTAAAGGTTGTAATTGTATTTTTCCTCTTCCATTATATAATACTTTTATATAATAAAATATACAGTTTTCTATACTTTTAACTAATTGGTTAATTTTGTGTTAAGCTCCACATCAGCCTCTATTTACGACTATGTTAAGAACGTAATAGTATGCCTATTTTACGCCTATACTAGGAACTAGCATGGTTCAATACTACATTTAGACCCCTTTTAACCAGATGTATAGATCGAAATTTTTTAGGAAATTATAAAAGTATTTTATTACAAGCAGCTAGCAAAATTGACTTAAATTAAGTTACCTAAAATAGTAAAGTACTCTAAAAATTTTTCCGATTAGCATCAGAAATTTGTGAGCTAATTGTACGAATTTTTTTTGTTTTATTTAATCTCTTATAAATCAATTTTTTTATCAAGAGTACCAGCAAATAAAGCTAACAGAAACAACGGCTTCTATTGTAATTAAAAGCTAGTCTAATAATAAGGGTTAAAATAAATAAATAAATTACAAGTTTCCATACTAATAGTTATTCAATTTGAATATTTTTTTTATAATTTAATAATTTGAAAATCAAAACATAAACATAAAGCCATTATGAAATAAATCTACCAAAAGCAATATATTATTCATATCTAGTAATGTTATAAACTGCTCGATTTTTGAACCGGACCGAATCAAATTTGGAGTTTTCGATTTGGAATGAATACGAATACAAAAATCATGTATTAGAATATAAAATTTGCATACAATTTAACATGACCATCGAAAAATAACGAGCGGTCATGTACATTTATATGTCCGTTCATTATTTCCTGTTTTTGGGTACATCAATGCATCCGAAAATGGAGCGAAATTCAATAGAGATGTTAATCATTAAGTCTATAGCGATTTTCACTACTAATAAATGCATGCAAACAAAAAAAACAACCCACTTATAAGGGAGGGTAATTGTTATTTAATTTTGGAAACTTCTAAACATTCGCCATGTTTTAATTAACGAAAATAGATAATAAATTATCAACATACTTACATTAAAGTGTTTTTTTGATAATTTATGCAATTCCTTAGATTTAAACCTTAACTAGTTTACTAATCCAAAATGATTGTAGTCGAGTTGACTTAGTTAGGTTTTTTCTCTTTAAATCCATAACATTATAAAAATATTGTTATTATAAGAGCGCTCAATCATAAGTTTTTGTAAAGTACCAGTATTGACAACAGGCGAAGTATTAGCAACTGATAATTAGATAACTAACTAACGTAATAATGGCTAGCGTATTATCTAAATACTCGTCCAGAATTGACAGTCAGTACTTGGCTGTCATTGCAATCAGAATATTGGTTATACATAATTAAAATATTGGTCCAGTAATGGAAGCCATTACTGTGTTAGAACTGCCAGTGTTGGTGTAGTACTGCGCTTGTTGTTAATTTCTGATTAGGTGGTATCGACTTTTGTCCTTCATGTACACGTCTAATATATTTTATATTCAATCAAAATACTTGACAATAATTGAATTTCCTATATAAAGCTCCTTATTACACTAACGTATTTATTGTGTTAAATCACATAAAAAAATATAAGAATAACTTAGTTCAAACAGGACCTGACGTAATGGACATCAGTACATTGGTTTTCTAAAATAGTCAATGCTAAAAATTGAGAAATGAGTTTCTTTACACCTAAATATTCGTAATTTTAAGACACAATTTTTTTTTTTTTTTTTAGCAAAAATAACGAAAATTCAATACATTTTATAATAAACGTAATTATTTATATCCATGAATTAAGTTGATATATTTTTGTATATGTTTATAGCATTTCCATAAAAAGCATACAAAAAGAAAGCTATTGTTTCTTTTATATCCTATTAAAACTTCAAATGGATCTGTATATTAATTATTATTATATTTTGGAAGAGAAAACATAATTTTTAAAAAATGTGAGAAAAAAATATTTACATTGTACACTTGAGATTTTAATATTACTTTGAACAACTTAATATTTACAGAGTGATCCAAATTTAGCAGTACACTCATTTTCCAAGAATCTAATAATAAATCAGGTAATAAAATTATCAGAATCTGATCATTTTTAATTTTTGTAAAGAGAAATTTTTAAATTAGAATAATCCAACTTTGCTTTATATATTTTTGTATAAATATTCAATATTAATTTTTCAATAAACGAGATACTATTCATAAAATTTACTTATTCTATTTATGAGAGATTTCAATTTTAAAGAAAATTTTTTTAGTTAAAAGTAAAATCTAATCTTCTCTGAGTACTTTTATTCATTTAAACTTTCATTTCTAATACTTAATATTCAACATTACAAAATCGCATTCGATGTAATTTAAGAACTACAAATTATATTTCTTCTCTTTAATTCCTCTTATACGTAGGTCTCCTATCTCTGGGGCGAATTGTTACTGGATATCCATGGACACTTCTCATAAGTAAATCAAGTTTTAATTTAATATCAGACATTTTGCATTCTGTATGCACACTATAATTTCGCAGGAAGGTTGATATCAAAACTTTCATTGACAACATTGCATATTTAGATCCTAAAAGTTTAGTTAAATTTAAAAATGTTTATACATTTATAAAATTTATAAGATCAGTAGTTAATACATTACCTATACAACCTCTTGGTCCACCACTAAAAGCAATAAAACTGTACTTGTGTCGTTTAGCTACTTGTTCCGGGTCAAAATTACCCGGATTGTAGGACCAAGGATTTGGATATAGTTCAGGTAAATGATGGGTTGCTATTGGTGGTATTATAACTGTAGTTCCTTTTGGTATCGAGTAATTTGCTATCAAAAATATTACTTTTAAGGCTCAATTTTTTTTACAATAACTGTCTCCTTACTTATTTTAACATCATCTTGTAAACGTCTCAATATTATAGGGCCTACGGGATATAACCGAAGAGTTTCTTTAATACACTGTTCTAAATACACAAATTTAACCGTATCTTCAATTGTCACTGTTTGGTCACCATCTCCCATTTCTTGATAGATCTCATCGTAAACTTTGTCCTTTAATAAATAAACTATGTAAAGTAAATAGTACATAAAAATAAAACTTATAAAATACTTGTATATCTTGATGAATTGCTAACATTAAAATGCAAAAACAGTTGGTAATAGCACTTGTTTCACTACCCTATTTAAAAAAAATATCATGTTATTGCGATCATATTAAAATGTATTTAAATGATGTATACCCCAATCATCATCGTAACAACCTCGTCCCTAATTTCTTCATTTGAAAAATTTGCACCAGCTTCATTTAATTCAAGCAATGTATCCAAAAAAACTTTTAAACGTTTTTCTGAGAACAAAAAATTCAACAATAATCACCTAATAGTAAATATTAATAATAAAAATAAGTACTTTTATCATCAGTGAAGTCAATTTCATTAGGCTTGTTTTTTATTTTCTGAGCAAATTCAACTTTTTTATCTTGAATTAACTATAATAACAACGTAAACACGTAAAAAATTATTAAATAATTCTATCACTTTTTAAGTTTCAATATATATATATACATGCCTTCATGAAAACACGGAAATATGTAAATATATTTTAAATAATACAACAATTCACTAAAGCCTTAACATATTTATAACGAAGAGTATTATTTATTAAAGAACAAATTGATGTTTTTAGTATTTTATCTCATTTTATAATACGAAATTTACCATTAATAATAGTATTATTAAATAACTAAATAGACATAACTCTATACAACTTTGGACATAAGTTATTCGTTTTTAATGATTAATAGGCGTCATAACAGGCACACCCAACCTGATTTTTAGTGGCTCACAAATATTAAATATTTTTATCCAATAAATGAAAATTATTTTTAAAAAATAAGACCTTTAATCAAAATTATTAAAAATTTTTAGTTTGACTCTTCTTAAAAATAAATTATATGATACCACGGAATACGAGTATTCGTAGTATGATTAGTATTTTTTAACGTAGTATTTTTACAAAAGCTAATTATTCACAAAAATGAGGTTTAATTATTACTTAAAATATTTATAAAGTACATAATCACTATTGTCTGACAAAAGTTGACAAGTCGATTTTATTGGAAAAATATGTTTACACTTCAAAATTTTTATTTGGATTTATCGTCGGGAAATTATGTGCTTATCCCCAAAAATTGCTAAAATTAAAATATTAGCCTTTTAAAAAGTAGCCATGAAAGTGTATAATTATATGAAATTGGTCATATTATATAGTCTCACTTGGCTTGGTAGTTTATGCAACGTTTTGTAAATCTGGTGTAAGCCTGTAATTTTTCCATAAATATAAAAAACAAAATCAGGATACAACCACGGTTTATAAATTCTCATTGAATCCAATTCAGAAGCTCTAGAAAAAAATAATTCAGTATTGCAATATTTCATACTATAAAACGGAAAAATCAATATGTTACTTTGTTAAAGCTTCGGCGAATTCAGATTCACTATTATGTTGTGTACCGAGATTATACCCCATTGCAGTTTCTGTAAAACGACAATTATATATTAATAGTTAAATATATATATATGATATAAACCATGTTAAACGAAGAAAATGTATCATGACTTGCGTTTTAAAAGTGACAAATAATTATGTAATTAATATAGATATTATTTCCAAAAAATATTTGCTAAGACAAACATATGTAATATATTACATATAATTCCGCCTTCCTAAATTTTGTCTTTATAATAATATATGTAATTTTTTTGAAAATTTGGGAAGCTAATTATGAAATTGGAAAGGCTAAGTCTTTCCAAGTCTCCACCCCTCCAAACCAAACCTCCATCCTAAAAAAATTAATGAAAATTTATAAAATAAAATTTTATTAAGAGACAATCACCACTAAATGTTTTATAATATTTATTTGCTGATTATTTATTATTAAAATATCTTTTTACGAAATTACAGATATTCATTGAGAGAAGCAAGTTTCTTAATATATCACCAATCTAATATATGTGTTACGGTCGAAATATATGAATAGATTATTGTCATTGCTTGTTAGACCTTGTTATTTGTGCGTTCTGACTATACCTAATAACGCAAAAATGAAAACAGATAAACTTCTTAAAATAAAGATTGAAAAGATAAACGCTACTCTGAAGGCAATAAACATTAAAACTTTTCATTAAATCATTTTTATTTAAAAATATTTTTGTTTTACATTTCATAAGTATATAACTAGCTCTTAAGCTCCTATATAATGTATAATCTTACATAAGCATTTATAAGGAGTGAGCAATATGTTAGAAGACGTATTTAATAGGTTCCTCACTATGACCACTCCTTTCATCAATGTCATATCAAAAAAATTTTATTTTTAGAATATTTTTTTAAAATTATAAATTAATTTAAATGTAATAGAAGTAAACAATTTAACCAGGTCTCAAGCGTATTTTAAAGTTAATTTTAGTTATAGCGATTTCACTAAGATATACTACTCTTTTAGGGCATTTGGATAACAAGCATAATTCAATAAATTAATAATTTGGGATATGACATTGTTAAAAGGAGTGAACATTACATGAATTGTATTACTTATTTGCTTTGAAAATTCAACTTACGGCAAATTATATCTAACGAAGTAGAAGCAATGTAGTCCCATATATCGAATGGTTCATTTTTTCCTAGTTCTTTTTTTAGATTTTTAACAAAAATAGCATTTTTTTCATTAAATACCGGAAAAAATTGATCAAGTAAATTAGCATTGAAAACAGGAGTAATAATTCGTCGATGTCTTCGCCATTTATCAACTAAAGCAAATAAAAAATAATTATTTAATTTATAACTTACAAACTTTTAATTGAGGTGAAAATAAAATAAATGTGTACAACAAAAGTCACAGTAAATAAAATATAACTATTTGATAAAGTACCATAAATAACTACAATGTTTAATAAGGAGTCACGAATTAATTATTGAGGGCCAGCAGAACATGATTTTCATTTCATGTCTATGTTAGGGGTCACTAAGATATTAAATACCCAAAAAGAGGATTGCATTAGTAAAAAGACAGAGATACACTGGCTGTCATTAAGATTTAATAGATCGTTACAATTTTTTTCTTGTTTATGATATATTATAATTATATATTATAAGCAATAATTATTGTTTACAATAAATGATTCATATTATTACTCTATACAAAGTGATCGGTTAATCATAAAACACTCGATTACTCTCAACAAAGTAAATACAATATTGAAAAAATAATAATTTCTTTTAGTTGTATAAATATCCTAATTTATCAGCTAATAATTACTTTTATGAATCATCCCTTATAACATTTAGGGGTGTCAATTTTTTTTTTAACGGCAACATACATATTTAACCAGCTTATAAAATAGAAAATAACTGGTTGTTAACAATTTTTGAACCAGTATTTCAGAAGTTATTAACAAACAAGTAATGACTGGTAATAAGTAATGGATGCTATTATTTTGATCATTAGTCCTTGCTCGGTCGTATTCTTTGTCTCGTCTATACAGAGTGATTGAAATCTGGCAAGACACTCATTTTCTCAGAAAATATTGAGAATTTTAAATTTTATTATAGAGAAAAAATACCAAGTTCAAAAAACTCTACAATAATATAAAGTCAAACCGTTATTTTTTTCGTACCTTTAAGGATAAAAACCCTTATTTATAATTTTCTTAAATGGGAACCCTTATTTTTAACTTTATAATATGATAGAAAAAAAAATTACAAACAATTTTGTTCTTATAATTTTTTTTATCCGATTAACCGTTCGTCCGTTACAGCTTGTTAAAGTTAAGTGATTTTAGGCCAAATTTCTATTGTCATTTTACTGTATTAAATACAGAAGTCATTTTTTTTATTTTCTGTTGTATAAACCAAATTTTATTAATCAAGTTATGACAGGTAAATTAGCTATAAAAATTTACAACGCACTAAATGAGTGATAACAATAATAGATTCAAACCGGGTTTTAGGTGTTAAGTCTATGTTTTTGTAAGAATTTAAAAAAATTATAAATAAACATTTTTATCCCTGAAGGGGTAAAAAAAAAATTTATTTAAGTTCATATTATTGTAGAGTTTTATAATAACATTTCTTTTTACAAAAATTTTAAATTCTCAATAGTTTCTGAGAAAATAAGTGTCTTACCAGATTTCGATCGCTCTGTATATAAGAGATGATTCAAAAAAGTAATTATTAGCTGATAAATCTAGAAATATACGTAACTAAAGATATCAACAATTTTGTCCAATATTGTATTTATTTTGAAGATATTCTCGTGGTTTATTATCCTCTATATAGGGTAATTAAATAGTAAAAATTTATAAAATATAATTTTTTTTTACTTGGCGCAGAAAATAGACCTTCACCAACAGTATTGACAAAAAACTTGTAAAAGTCATCTTTTTCCAGAGCTTTAGAGCTATTTAATACAATCTATAAATCAAAATTATTTTTAAAAAAAGATTCATTATGTAATTTTTGATAAAATAAATGTTCTAATGATAAGATATCGACATAACAATGATATGTGAATAATTGTTTATTTAATATATTTCAGTAAATACAATAGGTTAGATAAACAAACAATTAATATACAAATAAAAAAAAATGATGTTTCTCTTCAGCACCTTTTATACACTGTACTATATGGTATTTTTATGATGAGTAGTACAGATAAGATAGTAATTATAGTACATATTATAACGTACCTACTCTGCATCTAAATATAAAAATGATTGTAGCTTAATAATTAATTTCCAAAAATGAGTTTAAACCTGTTTAATTTTATATAAGAATTAATTGCTTGTAATTAATATTTATATTTAAATTAATAGATTTAAACTAAAAAATATTAAAATTATTTTTTACATCAAATTTGTTTGATAGAAAATACAAAAAAGAAAAATATCTTTGGTAATAAAAAATTAAAAAATGGTAGCACAGTAGAATTAAGGCACAGTGTTGATGTGTCATAGTTAAGATAAGTTTAGATGATATTTGACAATGATAAAAAACTTCGATGCAAACCTGTAGAAAGTTATTAATTTAAAAAAATTAGTGGATTATTCCAAAAGCAATATCAAATTTCTTTTTCATAATTATATCCTGTACTTCTTAGATTCATAAATACTAATTATAGTAATTAAATTTAATACTAAATTGATAATCAATAATTTAATATGGTAATTTTTATGGATAAATTTAAAAAAAATTATAAAGTATGAATGTGTTTAAGCTTTCGTGGATTGCCATATTGCTAAACATTTATGGATGTACCCACGTTTTCAGTAATGATCAGACATTTCGGACTTGTTGCAGAGCCAATCTTCAGAGTGATAGTTACTCTGATAGTAACTTACACTATCAGAGTTTAGTTCACAGTATAATAACAACCACAAGCTGTATCTATCGCTCTGGAGATTGACTCAAGTCTGAAACGTCAGTTCATAACTGAAAACTTGGGTATGTCCGTAAACATTTCAAGTAATAATAAAGTAGTTGTTATTTTTATAAAAAAAAATGAAGATCTTAATGCAGTACTTTTCAAAAAAGTTTCATTTTTTTCTTATGAATAAATTAACTACGATGAATTTTCATCAGAAACCAAAATATACTTTTCTTAACCCATTTTTGATGCAATTTTAAATGTGCTATTATATTTTTTCTATCAAACTCTTTTTTAAAATTATTACTAATTAATAAAAAACAAATAATTACACATAAAAAAAATTTATAAAAAAATATTTTTTTTAATTATTATTGATTTAAATTATTAATATGTTAAAACACAATTTGTGTTAAATTTCAATTGTTATGTCACTTTTAACTTGTTTTTTATGTTGATTTTTACAAAAGTTTATAAAAAAAAATTCAACTTTTTTTTTTATTCAACTTGATCAGATATTCAACAAAATATATCCAAAAAGTGGGTTGTACCTAAGTAATTTACATAAAATAAATTATTCTGGTTCATTTATTTTTCAAAATATTATGGCCGTATAATAAAAAAAGTTTTAAAAATGTCAAAAAAACCGATTTTTAAAATTGTAATTTTTTTGAGAATTACCCTAATTTATAGAGAATGAAAGAAAATTTTTAAATTTTGAGAGTAATGTCTATGACTAGATACGTTTTGTTTTCTTTTTACGTATTGTTGAAAGAAATTGGTTCAATGAGAGCTGAGAAAAAGTAGTGACAGACACAAAAAACCCAGCACAGAGGGGTCGCGGCACATTGGTGACGTGGCATAGTTGGATCAAGTATAATGATATCTGACAGTGATTAAAATCACTATAAAAAAAAAACGCTTCGATGCAAATCTTTAGATTGTGTTTAATTTTAAAAAAATTGGTGCATTATTCCAAAAGCTACATGATCTGCTAGTTCCTTATTAATATCTTGATTAAGATAAAGTATGTCGAATGAAAAAGGGATTATTAAAAAATATTATTTTTCATAAAAAAATTGTGTTGATACACTTTTCAATAAGTTATAGCATTATAAAGTTAAAAATATAAAAAATAAAATCGAGAATTTTCACACGAAAATAGTATTCGGTAGCCATTTTTGCCATGAAGACAAGTCTAGAGGTCAATTTTTTTTTTTTAATTAAAGTACATTACATTAGCTTTAATTTAAGATATATATAAAAGTGTCAGACCTTCCGGAACATTTTCAAAAGTTAATTTTTTGTGAAAAAGTTGTCATTTTAAATCCCCCCCCGTGGGCAGGTTATGTGTCATATTTACAAAAAAAATATACCAAATGATAGGTAAGGACATCAAGCATCTATAACAAAAAAAATTATATTGATATGTTCATTTTTGAAAAAGTTACGACAGATTTAGTAAAAAAAATTTCGAAAATTTCGAAAATTAGCGATTTTTAAATTTGTAATTTTTTTGGAGGTTTCCTTCACTTACGGAAAACGAGGGAAATTTTTTTCAATTTTTGAGGGTAATATCTTCGACTTGATACGATTTGTGATTTTTTGACCTATCGTTGAAAGAAAATAAAATATATTTGACAATAATTAAAATTACCATCGTAAAACATCATTACGCATGTAAAACATTTAAAAAAATAACTGGTATAAATTGTTTTTGACAATATGTGTAGCTTACTTAAAATTGATAAATCGCCAGAGTGTTCCCCTTTTTTTAATTAAACATTAAATTAAACAAACTCTAATTTGAAATAATCTAAATAATGGAAATATTCCATTACTATAGAAAATATTACAAAATCGGCAATTTCCACCTAAAATTGACTTAATACTCAATAACTCAAGAAATAGATTTTGTAAGAAAAAGAAAAAGGTTCTTATGACTATTTTAATTATTTATGAAATAAAAATACGATTTGTACATAATGGTTTAATTTGTCGAATAAAGTTTAGAATTAAGATAGAAATTTACATTTTGGTAAATTAGAAATTTCACGTAACTTGTAAAATAAATTAAATAATTATTCATACTTGTAAATCTTCAGGTTTAATTACATTAACGGCTAATGTAGATCCCAACCATATTTTAAATGGTTCTGGACCATAAAATTCATACAATTTTATTATTCTCTCCATTATCTCTAAAAAAAAAATTTTTACAGTTAAGGTAGAATGAGGTAATTATAAATAAATGTGGTTATTGTAAACACACTTTTAAAAATAAATGCAAGTTTTTATTTCGAATTAGCGTTTAATATGATAGCAACTTACATAAGAACCACAACTTTTCAATCTAAAATAAAATCTGCTATATATTCAATAAAAAAAAATTTACAATTATTCCATTCGTTAGTATTTAACACATTTCACTCTAATATTGAAATAACATTATAACAAATTTTGATGTATTAATTTGTATGCTTAAAAACAATTTTCCGAATACACAAAGTCAAAGAGATATGTGTTAATATAGTTAAAACTAATTTTGAATATGGACTGCATATTATATACGTGTTCAGACCACTTTTAACTCGTTGCCAGTGATTCCTTTGACAGCAATATTCATAAAGAAAATGAAGTGATGAAATAAAAAAAAAAAAGAGTCCAAAATATAAAATTTTGTAAATATTTTTTTACTTTTATAATGATATTCTGGCTATGCCACTGCGCACTCCTTTAATCTATTCATACGTTTGAAAAATCACATCAACTTTTTAAAAATAGTTTTTAGGAAAAAAAAATTAGAATCTATCTCCCCTCGAGCAAAAAAAAATATTTTTTAAAGCTCTTTCTACAGAGCTTTCAATTTTGTTTCAATTTTTATGTTATTCTTACGTTGAGGTGTTCCAATAAATTCCAATCCTGTACCAATTAGTGGATATGACGGAGGTCCTGGCAATGTAGCAGCTAACGCATCAATAAATCTACGATTCCATTTAATATTACACCAAACAATCACAAGGAATACTATGATACCATATCCAATCAACTCGGCTCTTGCTAACCGAAATTCACCTGCTATACTAAAAGATGATCTAGAAATATCTTGCGACATTTCCATACTAAACAAATAAAAATATTATTAGATTATCATTTTAATAGCCGTTTTTATCTTGATATCGTATAAATAATATGTAGCTTGATAGCTTCAAAAACTACCACCTAAACAATTTATTATGACCCTAAGTAGAGCAAAATATGTTTACTTCTTTATATAAATAATTGCAAAATAATATTCACTTAAATAAACATTTTTACATGTAAAAAATTTACGTTAACACAATTTATTCAAATATACTCATTGAAAAGATCCTTAATTTTCAACTTCAAAATATTTAATCAGGCCTACCATTTGGTTTGATTATGACATCAATATTCGCAGGTACACAGCATTGTTATTATCAATGGTAATAAGGCACATTGTTGTGAGTTTATAAATACACTAACTGATAATATAAAAAGTTTATCTATTGATAGTCATAATTGATGATAAACAATCCGTGACTGTGACATAAAAGTCATAAAAATCAATTAGCTACCTGAATTTGTAATCCATTGTGTATTATACATGTATATTAACTCAAAAATTTGAAACTTTAAATGTTTATTTCTAATAAACGAATTAAGTTATATTAAAAATTCAAATGCCATTTACTATTAAATTTAAAACTCAAACATTTTATTAAATTCAAAATATGTGTTCCCATTTTAAAAAACAAAGTTGAGATCCTTACAAGGCATAAGGGATGAACTTAAAAAGTATTACATAGTTAATAATTCAAGAATAATGTGTAACTAAAAATAACCAAAAAAAAAGTTTAAATTATATTTATTCTGTAATTAACTGAGTGGATTATGATAAAAAATCATCCTGTATATAAAAGTGTCAGACTTTCCAGAACACTTTCAAAAATTAAGTTGAAAAAGTTGTCATTTTAAATACCCCCTGTGGGCAGGTAAAGGATCAGATTTATAAAAAAATATAACAAATGATAGGTAAAAACATCATGCATCTATAAAAAAAAAATTATACTGATTTGGTCATTTTTAATAAATTTACGACAGTTATAAGTAAAAAAAATTGAAAAAATGTCGAAAATTAACGATTTTTTTGGAGATTTCTCCAATATCTCCGTAAATGGGGGAAATTTTTTCAATTTTTGAGGGTAATATCTTCGACTAGATACGATTTGCGATCTTTTAACGTATCGTTGAAAGAAATTGGTTCAATGAGAGCTGAGAAAAAGTGGTAACAGACACAGAAAAAAATATAAAAAAAATCATAGTAAAACTAATAACTTCTCAGCTTCGCATCAAAACTAAAAAACGGTTATTATATCTTATAGTATCAAACAAAATTTTATTTTCTAGATTTAAATTTTAAATTAGATTTTAATTTAGAAAGATGATAATAATTATATATGCACGTAATTGTATAGTCGATACATCAAAAATTATTTTAATATTTAGCAGAGTAAAAAACGTGGAACAGGACTGTAAATTACTTTAATTTTGTTCGAGTCATTTTAAAGAGTCTTAAGTTTATGCAACTTAGTCATAGGATTATATAGTAAACAATTACTATATAATTTATATATACTATATACGAGGTGTGACAATAAAATAACGAGACTTTTTTAATAAAAGTTATTTATTTTAAAAATTTTACAATTTAATGATTGTCACCTTCAAAGTACCTTCCCTCAGCATCAACACACTGTTGCATACGTCGCTGCCATTCTTGAAAACAATATTGCCAATCGCTTTCAGTTAGCCCTTTTAGAAGTTCTGCCGTTTTCATTTTTACGTCATCAACCGTTTGAAAATGGGTTCCTTTTAAAAAACTTTTAATTTTTGGGAATAAGAAGAAGTCACAAAAAGTAAGGTCTGGCGAGTACGGGNGAAGTCACAAAGAGCAAGGTCTGGCGAGTACGGGGGATATTGAAGTATAGAAATATTTTTTTCAGTTAAAAAACTTTGAATTGAAAATGCACTGTGAGCTGGAGTATTGTCTTGGTGAAGAACCCAGCCATTCTTCCACAGATCTGGTCGCTTTTTTCTAACACGTTCTCTTAATTTAATTAATACATCTTTATAATAATATTGGTTGACAGTTTGCCCATTAGGAACCCATTCAGCAAAAATTATTCCCTTAATGTCAAAGAAAACAATGAGCATTGCTTTGAATTTCGACATGCTCATTCGTGCTTTCTTCATTCTTGGGGAAGTCGATGTCTTCCAATGCATAGATTGCCTTTTAGTTTCAGGATCATATGTAAAAATCCACGTTTCATCACACGTAATGATATTATTTATAAAAGATGGATCATCTTTGATAATTTTTAAGGTGCCAGAACAAATTTCTTTGCGATTGAATTTTTGATCAATCGTCAAATTTTTAGGGACCATTTTAGCACACAATTTTTTTATATTTAAATTTTCAACTAAAATTTTACGAACACTGTCTCTATCAATATTTACCATTTCTTCTACAGCTCTAACACTTAATCGACGATCTTGCCGAATAATTTTGTCGATTTTTTTAACTTTTTCGTTTATTGAACATGTGGTAGGACGTCCAGAATGATCATCGTCTTCCACGTCCTCTCTTCCATTGCAAAACCGTTTATGCCATTCAAAAACGCGAGCTCTTGATAAACATTCTTCACCATAAACTTCACATAACATACGAAATGATTCTGCGGCAGTTTTTTTTAATTTAACAAGAAATTTAATGTTAAAACGTTGTTCGATTTTCATATCTAACATTTTTCGGCAGTATAGTCGACTTTGCACTAATAACAAGGTTACTAACGTATAAGAAAGTTAACCGATTTCATCATTGTTTATAGTACTTTTAGATAAGTGTTTCCTAATCATATTTCAATAATAGTTTTATAGATAACGTTAATAGTTTAGGATATATTTAGAAAGTCTCATTATTTTATTGTCACACCTCGTATATACAGAGTGGCCCATCACTCACTGACAATTTAAATAACTTTTGATCCAGTTAATATTTTTAGCTGATTTTTTTTTTAAATAATAGTTATACGTTAGGACTATAGCTATATCTCAATAATTAATTTTTTTACATTTTATTAAAAACATTAATTATTTTTAAATTTTAAATAAAATGTAAAAAAAAAATCTAAGATAGCTATTTTGTAGAGTAGAATTTAAGAAAAATTTTAGTAAAAAAATATCTTATTAATATTCAATAGTAAATATTCTGTAGGGTTTTGAAGTTTATGAATATTTGAATTTTTACAAACTTCAAAACCCAACAGAATATTTACTATTGAATATTAATAAGATATTTTTTTACTAAAATTTTTCTTAAATTCTACTCTACAAAATAGCTATCTTAGATTTTTTTTTTACATTTTATTTAAAATTTAAAAATAATTAATATTTTTAATAAAATGTAAAAAAATTAATTATTGAGATATAGCTATAGACCTAACGTATAACTATTATTTCAAAAAAAAATCAGCTAAAAATATTAACTGGATCAAAAGTTATTTAAGTTGTCAGTGAGTGGTGGGCCACCCTGTATATATAAAATATTTAAAAATATTTTTCGTTTTAGAAGGTTGGATTAAAAACATATTCCTAAATTTTTAAATCACTTAATAATAATTTGTTCTGGCTGATGGTGTGTTAGGATATAATTCGCAGCCGTAGTTATAAATAACGTATATCTCAAACTATTGTATACCCAAATCAACCCAACCCATACCTGCTTGATTTATATTAATTAAGTTGTTTCTCTCTCAAGTTAAAGCAACATTTTTAAAAATTAAAATTTATTCACTTTGCCCAAGTACTCCGGTAAAATTAATATTTTAACTGGTTTCAATTTATTTCAACAAAATTTATCTTATTTTCTTATCTGAGTTCGTTTTTTCGAGAAGTCTCCTAAACATCGGTTCTATATTCTCACTTTACGTGTTTTATTCAGTTATCAGACCTTAAATTATTACTTAACCTTGATAAAAATAAAATGCCTTGACATTACTAGAATAACTAGTTCAACTAGTATTAGAAAAAATGCAAGTTTATTGAGGTAGTAAAGATATATTCAGTATACATCTTCTAAACAATTCTTATTTAATAGAATACTCAACTTGTTTCATGATATGTTGATGAACGTTAACCCTTTTCTATCTCCATCAATTAAATATTGTGTGAACAACAAAAATAATCTTAATAACAATATAATACAAACAAGGTAGGCAAGATATAAAAATAACCGCAATACTGAAACCTGATTTTCTAGAAATTATTTATGCTAGTTCTTATTCATTTGTTAGTTTGCATAAACATGATAAAATCAAAGAAATTATCAACTTTTATTTTCAACACTAATTGAATTTCTATTTAAAAAAAGATACTATACAAAACTATTTTGCTATAAAATATTTTATATGACTAGCTAGAGCAACATAGAACATAGATTACAATTATAATTAAATGAATTAGTGACATGTCCTAACTATTAAAAATAATATAAACATTATAAAATTAATTTAACTAATGATATAATATGATAATATTATAAAGGAACTTGAAATTTTGGCGAAAACTAAACAAAATGATTTATAGTAAAGTGACAAATTTTAATTTTTTAAATAGATATAACCTTATATAAAAATTATATATACCACGTATATTTAAAATTATTTGAAACCCAAATCTTATAAAACAGCTAAAAATTAAAAAAAAATTGCTTGAACTTTTTTTTGAAAAATTAAAAATTTTGAAAATTTAAAGATTTGAAAAATAATAATATTGTAAATAATAACTTTTAAAACTTTAAAGTTCATAATTAAAATGTTTAAAAAAATTTTACATTATTAATTTACATAGAATTTTAATCATTTTTCAGAAGATACTTAAAAATGTCTAAAATCAAAATATTAGTTTTTGGTAAATAGCTAAAAAATATTAGTTTGTACTTTTTAATTAGACGTCAATTAAAAATTGTACAACTTTTTACCTTTTTATATGATTTTTAATAAATTACCCCTAAGGTAGAGATCACTAAAAATTTAATATCTAATTAAAGGGGTCTAAATAACAAAAATCTTTAGAAATAATAGTGGAGTCAAGGGAGGAAGTGGATAAAGAATCTATAGACCGTTTTATCGACCGGGTTAAACTAAATATTTGTACATCAAATTGTATATTTCATTGATAAAAGAGATACATTTATACTATTTAAAACTTTACAATAATAGGTAGATAATTTTTTTTTTTTATTCCTTTAGGAGGAAAAAACTTTAACATTCATTTTCTTAGATAAGAACCCCTATTTTTACCTTGATAGTATAATAGAAAAAAAATTACAAACGATATTGTTTTTATAATTTTTTTTACTGATCATCCATTCGTCTGTTAAAATGTGTTAAAGTTTAGTGTTTTTAAACCAAATTTCTGTCGTTATTCTACTGTTTTGTAACAGAAGTCATTGATTACTATTAATAGACACATACTATTATATTCAATACATCTATCATGCATCGTTGAATGACCAGCATGGAAAAAAGTTTTTAATGACTACAATTAAAATAATTTATTATTCATTGAAACAGATATTGTTGTTTTTGGTATTATGAAAACCAAATTAATGATGGGTTTCTATTTTTAATCCAAATCTTTAAAAAATTTAAAAAACTAACAATTGATCAGATAAAAACAATTATAAGAACAAAATTTATTTTCTAACATAATATCAAAGTAAATATAGAAGTTCTAGTTTAAAAAATAGATGTTAAGGTTTTTTTTATCCTTGATAAAGCAAACTGTTTAACTACATATTATTTTAGAGTTTTTTGAATTTAACAATATTTTCCTTTACAAAAATTAAAAATTTTCATTATTTTCCGAGAAAAAGAATGTCTTATCCTTAATATATTATTCTGTATATAATCTTCCTTAAATTACATAACTCATGTAATAATTAGTATTCTATTACAGTCTAAAAACATTTATATTCTATACTTGAAACGAAACTATACAGTTACTAAAAAGAAAGTACATATACGAAAAATTGCTTCTAATATTTTTTTTTAATTTATAACTTTAAAAATATGAACATGTATTTTTAATAAATAGGTTTTTTGTATGTATTTCCAGGCAATCATTTGATACTTTGAGTTGTATAATATTTAAAATTCTACAACGAACACATTATCCCTAAAATAAAGATTTTTAATCAAATCGACCTTTTTAAATAATGTAAGTTTAATATCAAATTTGAATATTTTTAGTTGTAATTCTTAATATCATCTTATTCTATAATTTCTAAAACAATATTGAATAAATAAAAATGAAAGTTATTTTTATTTTTATGATTGTAATCTAATAAAAACAATTTTATAAATCTAATTATGATGATAAAAAAATAATAATAATATTATATTCAACTAGTTTTTCGTATATCATACAGTTTAAGGTTCAGTTCAAAAATAATACTAAATGTTTTGTATACAAGTGATTGAATATTTTCAATAATATTGAGATTTGGTACAAATCTGTTTTCAATGTATAAAAGAACAGATATTTAAAAATAAACAGAAATATTTTTTAATTTTCTTTGTATTGACTTCGTAGATTTTAAGATAAATTTTAAGAACTTAAAATTTAATACATTATTTTAAATCTCATTTATATTACTATAGCAATTTTTTGAAACATAATATATTAACCAAAATGTATTCATAGTTTAAATTGAATCTTGTATAAATTGTAGTAATTCAACGAACTCATTTGCTCTTAACTTTTACATTTACAAGACATACAAGTTTTATGAATACTTGGACTTCCTCATTATTGTCAATATTTAAAAAATATATTTTATAATGTATCCAAAATAAACTTTATGAAAAAATTCAAGAATTATTTAAAAATATAATTTAGTTAAATAAACACATTTTTGATAAAAAAAATGTATTAAGCAGTTATAAAATGTACCCTTTAATATAAAGTAATAAAGAGTATTTTTTATGTTATAATATATTTTACATTTATAATTTATATTAAATTATTTTTGAAAAATTCATATTTCTAAAAATTACATTTATAAATATAAATTAAATACTTACATGAAAATTTTTATGAGTAGTTGTCTATTGTGTTGATCACTGACTATTTCAAGTACTGAATGAGAATGTCACTTAAGCGCTAAGCAATACTTGTTCGATTCTTTTGCACCCCACTACCACTTTTATTATAATATATAAATTATAATTTATATAAGTTTAATAACAAATCTTTAACTATTACTGATTTTCGGTGTTTTTTTATCGAGACGATCGTGTTTAAAATTTCTCTTGATAAGCGTATTTATGTTGAATGTATTATTTCATCATTTAAATTAATTTTAATATGAAAAATAGAGTGCAACGGAATAAATTTACATGAATAGGGTAATTATAAATACATTTTTCTCACAGAATATTTTGTAGGTTTTATTTATATTGAAAAATTTTGGTCCTTATACGTGTTGCTAAGTTATATATTAAATACAAGGGCGAAATAAAAACAAAACATTTATTTTAAAAAATGCATTTACAATTATCACACTTCGCCCTACTTCTTTATCTTAAAAATCTCACTTAAAAATTTAAATGCCGACTATAGGCGGAATTTATGGGAACTTGGAAGGACTTATCTTCGCGAATAATTCATTAGCACCCAATTTTCTTCTCTCCCATTAGTACTTGTGTATAATAATAATATGTATTTTTATTAAATTTAAAAAAAAAACTTAAATAATTTAAAATTATTGTTAATATTTTACCAATTATTTTTAGGTAATTTTTCCATGCCTCAGTTCTGCATACGGTGCAAACGAATATTTATTATTTATTGAACCCTATCTTTTAATAACCCCTGATAGAGTGGATTTTTCATTGGAAACTAATTTTCGGATAATATCTCGTCCAAATCATTAAGTTGGATCGAATTTGGTTTGGAAACCCAATTTTAAAGTCTTGCTTAAATAAGTATACTGATTGTTAAAATTTTATAAATACTTGAAGTCCCTAGCCCTAGTCATAACAGACCTCCTTGGTTTATGTCATGAGTAACTTTAAAGGTCTTAAATAACAATCTATTGTACTGCATTTTTTAAACTTTTATCAAATTCAAAAAAGTACAAAAATGAACTAAATTAAAAGTTAGCGATACTGAAAAAAGCATAAACTAAATTGAAAATACAACTTTTTCTATATTTTGTATCAAAAACAAAATATTTTTGTAGTAACTCCAATAAAGAATAGATTAATTAAAATAGATAGGTTATTTAATAATAAATAGGAGTAAGTGAATAGCCGTCGTTATTTTGCCAACTAATATCCAATATAATATATGAGACCCTTTGTAATTGAGTTACTATTAAAGAAAATAAATTATCTCTGATGAAGTGTTTATAAGATAGTTCGTCGTGAATAGACCTGAACTAAACTTAAATGTAGTCAGGATTACTAGAATACTTGTATAAATAAATGCAATAAAAATATGACTATACATTTCTTAACGTTTAATAGTTGAAGCAAGCTCAGCAATAATTATTTTTTAAACCTTTAAATAACTAACCTAAAGTTTCATGTGTGATTCAAGATTTTATTATGTGAAGGTAATTTAAGTTGAATAAATTTAAATTTTGAATAAATTCTTGTCTTCACTTCCAGGCTTTAATAATCGAGGTGAATATGAAAGAGGATGTTTGATCGAGCTGGACGCGGACGGGCTACTGGCTATGATTTTTGTGATAGTTTATAGGGAAACATTTTAATTAGATTATTTTTATGGGAGATCTCAATTATCAAGGGACACTATCTATAATACTTTATTAATTATATAAAAATAATAATAGTATTAGGTAGCCACGCGCTAGAATGACTTATCTACATAGTTTAACATACATTATTGGATTATGTGACTAAATTATTAAGATTACATTTTATTTAGAATAATTTAAATATAAGAGTTTATGAATATTACAACATTTTTTAAAATTGGATAAGATGGCGGAACAGATAGTGTAAGTTCATGTAAGACGCCAAAAACTGGAGAGAACATTCGACGCCGGCGCTCAGTGGTCAGCCCGGGTCTAATAAATAAACTTTATACTCTAGCTAAAAAACGAGGATATTTTAATCAGGCTGCACTCGCGATGTAGAAAAATGGCAATGAAGAAAAATAAGATGTCCTTGTATTAAGCGTATCACAATATGACGGTATAATGTCAGACTTAATTATTAATAACTCAAAAAATATAATTAAAAAAATATCTTGATATAAGTTTATTTTGTAAGTTATTAATGAGTTAGTTATGATGTATAACCCTGTCATAATCAAACTTCTGTAATCCAATTATATTTCAATTTATTATAACTTATAATAAACTGATTATGCACCTTAATTTTTTAGCACAAACATTCCATTTCATTAACTTATATTGATTTTAAGAAATAAAACATGCTAAATTTTACATCAATAATTCTCCAATAATGCAAAGAAAATTCAATAAGTAAACAAACACATTATCAAAAAAGGAAAACAATATTAATTTAATTTAACAAGATGAGCTTCACATTTTCCAAATATTTTACTTGCTATTAATTCCAATTAATTGTTACATATTATAAACGTAATTATGACTACAATTGTTAATGTAAATAAAAAAGTTTAAACTAATTATAAATAAGACATTTTTAAACCAAAATTGTATATAAGACTTCACAACTTAGGTCTTTTTGGAACACCAGTCAGTAAATTCACACTTTTTTCTCGCTTCATCGAAGGTATTTTATTTGACCCAGGAATATTACTGTCTTGTAACCATCTTACTTGGGTAGCAGGACCATAACCTTTTTCATTTTTAGCAGCGATTCGAAAAATAATAGCAGGTTTATTAGTTCTATCAATTAATGCCGCTCCAAGTGACTCATGACTTACTACAGCAGCATTTTGAGGGCCACAATATACTCGTACAAAGTTCAAACTTGTTGTTACAGCTTTAGGACTTTGCTGGGGAATATCTTTTGGACTTTTAATTGCTAAACAAACTGAATACTCCAATATTTTACCAGAACTTGACGGAGGTGCTTCCCATGTTAAACTAGCTCCATCTGGTGCTTTTGTTATCTTTATAGCAGATGGAGCCCCTGGATATCCAGGCAAGCAAGTTTTAAAAGCTGATATTTCACTCCATTCTCCTCTTCCACACGCATTTATAGCTGCAATACGAAGCTTATATGCCGTACCAGGTTGAATATCAATTTTTAATTTGTTTGTATAATCAGGTAAATGATCTAAGCTAGTACTTTCATGTTCATCAGTAGTTGTTGTTGAATAAAACTGTTTTACTAAACAAGTAGTACCTTTAATCACACCTACATCACACCATGCAGGTCCATCTTGTTTTACAGGGAGCACAGCCATAGTTGGTTTTGACATCACAACATCATTAGAACCATTTGTAGAACCTTGATTTAAAGCTGCAGTTGCTAATGTTGAAAGGGCATCCGCAATATCATTTTCAGATTTTTTTTCTTCTTTTGATTCAATCTTAATAACTTCACTTAGAGAATTTTCTAAATGTTCAATATTTTTTTGATCTTCAATTTTTGAATCTTCTGATTTGATGTCAGGAATTGATCCTCCATTTTGGGATGGTTCATCAGTTAAAAATTCAGACAGCTCTCTCATTACTAAATCCTTTAACTCTGAATCTTTCATACTCAAAACTGATTGTTGATCTATATCAACTCCAGTATTATCAAGTTTGATTTCATTGTTAGTAGAAACTGAACTATCTGAAGGCATAGATTGTTGGTGATTACCTTCAATAATATTTTCATTCAAGGCTTCATTATTTTGATTAGAAGTTATATCACTTTTGATAGATTCCAAACTATTATTACCGTCATGTGTAAGAGCAGAATCAAATGTTGACACCGGTTCTGAATCTTGAGGCTGAGCTACATCCACAGCCATAGGTAATTCATTAGTTTCCATTTTTTCTTCAGCTTTTTCAGATTCATCATGAATTTTTTCATGGGCTAGTTTTAAACCATTTGATTCTTCTGTTTCGTCAACAGACATAGCTTCTAGTTCATTATTATGGTGTTGTAAAATTGGTTCTGTATCTGGCAAATCTTTTAAATCTTCAGTTAGTTGTTGTGGTTCATTATCATTTTCAGATTCAGGAGCTATTATAGCTGCATCATCAACTGTATCTTTATCATTCATATTCATTCAATAAAATGTATAAAATCTGCAATTTCAAATGAATAAATGAAACTCAATATTAACTAAAAACACAATTGGATTGTTTAGTACTTAGACAATATCATAAAAATCTTATTTTATAAGTACTACACCTTTAGTTCATATACTATTTAGTAACTATAATTATAAATTACTCAAGAATTCTATAATTACTACTATATAAATTAAACTTATAAGATTTAATACAATTATAATAATAATTAGATAAAAATAAACAGTAAACACCTACAAAAAATATATTAAACTAGCCTGATTGATATCATATACTCAACATAGAGCAATCTTATACTGTACAAATTTCACATTAAATCCCTTTTCTAATATTTATATTAGTTATAGATAAATTGCAATAATTTTTTAAATAATCTGTAGCTATTTAAAGAAAATTGGAAAATACTTTTAATTTTCAAAAACTTTAACTTTAGACAAAACTTACTGTAGGTTTTCTAAAGTTTTGTAAAAAATTTTGTAATAGTTTTACAAATCTGGAGCAAACCTAACATCATACTATTGCTTAAAATATTATCTTTCACATTAAGAACTCACTAAAATAACCTATTTCATAAAATGAATTGCTATACACATTCAAATTATTTTAGTAAGTTAGAAATTATACTGAACACGTATCATATCTTTTGTCATTTCAATTTTAGTGTTATCCATATTTTATAAATGAAGAGCAGATTTATATACATTTATAAATCTATATAAATATTTTGATATTATTATTAACATTAAATATTTTTATTTAACTAATATTAAATATCATATCCATATTAGTTTATTTATAAGTACATAAAAGATTTAAAATGTTAATTTTAAACATATATATCATCAAAAACAAAATTTCTATCTAAGCATCAGAAGTATGAATTAAAAAGACTGGTGCTTCTAATGGTAGGTTATACTTGAAAAAAACAAAATTGAAAATCAACAGCCTGAGTTACTATTTCTAAGAAATTATTAAGATGATTATCTTTATGTATGACAAGTCATAACAATAGAAGTAGAATTTAATATTAAGTGATACAATAAAAAAAAAATGTTTACTGTAAACTTAAAGTAATCTTTTATGTAACAAAATTATGAATTTTCAAAATTGATACATAAATTTTAATAAGGACTGATTTTAATAACGCTCATATCACAAATTTGTTTAATATTTTTGAACAAATTTTAGATATTATATTGGTTATTGAACAATAAAATAGTGTTAAAAAACAATATATTTGTTATATATTATACATAACAATATTTTTCTAAAGACTATTATAAAGAAAAATTATAATTTATTTTAATAACAAATAATTGTCTTTTTTTATTGAATCATATTACCCAGACTATCTGACAAAAACATACAACAACTTACTTTACCTTAAAACGTTCATAACATTGCAATATTTTCTATTTTATTAAATTGTTCAAACTATTTTAAATCGTTATAATGTTTTATACAAGCGATCAAATAAACTTAAGAGACTAAGGAGTAATTTCCTCGATATACTTAAATACTACTAAAATATATATATGAATATTATATATTACCTGATAATTACTGATTACTCTGTAAAAATGATTAATAGTATTTCAATACTTTCTTTCAAATATTATATCTTAACGATAAAAGATTAATTAATAAAAGAAACATTTTTTTTTCATAAAAGATATCTATTCTGAATGATAAACAAATATGTAAACAATTCTTATCAAATTATATTTGTTTCCATGAATTTTCAAATAAATTTTATTGACATAATTTCCATTATGATTTGTTGTTCTGTTTTGATAAAAAAATTGTTTACTTTAAATTATCTTAAATAAAAATCATACATAATACTATTGATTTAATTTTAAATAATAAATAAAAAAAAACCCAGCACTATTGGGTTGCAGCATAATAGGGACGCTGCATAGTTTGGACAAATATAGATGATGTATGACAATGATTAAAATCATCATTATAAAGAATGCTTTGATGCAAATCTGTATATAATGTTTAATTTTTAGAAGAAATTGTTAGATTTTTCCAAAATAAAAAAATCAAATTTTATTTCCTTAATTATATAATGATTAAAAATTTAATTTATATTTATAAATTGTTTATTCTATTGCAAATAATCAAAATTATATTGTATTTTCGGATTATATTCAAAAATTAAGTTGAAAAACTTTTTATTTAAAAATATCTAATTTGAATCTTTACCTGTGGGCAGATTTTCAAAAAAAAAAATACAGAGTGTTCAGTAAGTAAGGAATTTAAATTACCATAATAAAAATTATGGTAAATACGTAAAGCGTTTATGTAAACAAATTTATATTGGTTCGTTCATTATTTTAATAAGTTATGGCAGTCTATCTACCAAAATAACATCATGGTTAAAGGTATTTTTTTACGTGTAAATTACATATTTTGTTCAATTTGACGGCCATTTGAACATAAAAGATTGATTTTGAGGAAACAATTTTTCTTTAACTTATAGTATTTAATATAAACCTGTTTTCCCTCTGTATAGGGGATAAGAATACTTCCACGACACCTCTGCCGTAAGAAGCGACTAATGAGGTTACATCAGGTCGTCAGCCGGCGTAAAATTTTTGTAAAATAGTATACTGTACTGAACAAAACTTAGGCGAATTGTCCCATCTCGGATGTCCGCGGAATCGTGTCAAGTTGAAGTTTAAGATAAGGGTGGCCGACCCCAAGTAGTTGAAATTAAGGCGAGGAAGAAGAAGAAGATTGTATTCAACATAACTTTAATTTTACATATCTTTATAAGACTCACAATTTCCGGATCATTTTCAAAATTAAGTTGAAAAGTTTTATTTTTATACATATGTTTTAAGTTTTTAACCCCACTTGTGTAAAAGGAAAAGTCCAATTTAAAAAAAAATTTATTTCGGAAGAAAGGAGTGTATAAAAATAATTTATAAAAAACTATTGACTTATAGATTTTACAAAAAGTAATAGCAATATACAGTTAATAATATAAAATTGAGAATATTTACACAAAAATCGTAATTTTTTCTTTAACTTTGATATTTGTTTTCACCACGAATACAGGTCGTGAGGACAAATTTATTTTCAAATTATAGTACATACTTTAATATATATAGTAATATGTATATAATAGTGTCCCTTATTTTGAAAATTTTGGAAATTCTTCGGGCTCACCTCCCAAATTTGTGTGTATACATATAAAAAGTGGCTACAAAAAATTTTAGGCCGATCAGATAAGTTTAACTCGTGCCGACTTGGGGTTGAAAATCGGCCNCCCCAAATTTGTGTGTATACATATAAAAAGTGGCTACAAAAAATTTCAGGCCGATCAGATAAGTTTAACCCGTGCCGACTTGGGGTTGAAAATCGGCCAAAAGGGGTACTTTTTTAGTTTTTAGCAATTAACTCGTAAATTAGCGCTCTCACAAAAAAAAGTATAAAAATTAAATTGTAGATCTAATTGTTTTATATAAATTAAGTCCTTACAGTTTTTCTTTTAAATCNAAACTAAATTGTAGATCTAATTGTTTTGTATAAATTAAGTCCTTACAGTTTTTCTTTTAAATCCATTAGTTTTCTAGAAAAATGTCAAAATACATAATATTTCGTAAAATTGACTAAATTAGCATATTTACGAATATTTCATCATATATGACGAACCATATGCGATACGACCTAATTTTTCATACAAAAATTGTTTAAAATTAAATTTTACGAACTAAAAGTAATAAGTACAAATTTCATTGAATCGATCGTTTTATTGTTATAGCTGAAATAACTCGATCATATTACGATTTTTACTAAATATATGAATTTTAATGCTAGATTCTGTTCTGTCTTATCATCTGANATTTTAATGCTAGATTCTGTTAGTTATCATCTGGTTTATTACAACACTTATCGTACAAGTACGGCGATAATACTATGGTATGACTGAATTAATGTATTGTTATTATTTTTAAATTATAAATAACTCTGGAAATCGTAAATTTATTACAAATCGCAGCAATAGATATAGTGAACTCATACTTATACCACTTTAGTCTCTCACATCGCGTATTAAGTTGAACTGCTTCCTATAATAGGAAGCAGTTCAACTAAAAGAAAAACACAATAATTGTGTTTTTCTTTTAGTGTACGTAAAAATGTCCGTAGTATTACGAAATGACAATAAAATATTTTTAATAGGGTCTTTGACTACTCAAATTTTAGGTTCAAAACTTCCATCCATTGGGCAAGTTCTAAAAGTTTANCTTCCATCCATTGGACAAGTTCTAAAAGTTTTTTTTTATAACCTAAGAATTGTTAATCTTACTATAAGAGCAAAAGCAGCATTGACTATTCGCGAGTGTAATATTTTCTGGGAAATAGACGATTCCATTTCAACCGAAATAAAAAAATTAATGGTTGTATTCCTTAATAATGAATCAATAATAAACCCTAGCAAACGTTTTATTCTTTCATCGAGTAATATTGACAAATCATTTTCAGGTATAATAATTTTTGATATCTTTATTTTTTGATGACTATTGAGTGATTGATATTTTTTTTTAGAAAAAACTGTAGCTTCTTTTTTGTCAAAAAGCAGTATGAAATTTTTTAAACGATTCGATATCAATACTAATTTTTTAAATTTGGATCCAAGTAATTGGAATACTGATAATTTTTATTTACACGGAAAAGAAATTGTATGTTCACTTAAAGTAGTAAATGACTTTGCAGAGAAAGCGGTTAAGCTAATGGAAGATTTTCATGATAGTTTAACTGTAAACGATGAAAAAGCTGAGTTACTTTTACACTATGTCCAAAAGCATAGCATATTATATCCTAATTGCAACAAAGAAACATTAAAACATAGTTTTTAATGTATATTTTTGTTATAATTTGTGAATTATTTTGAATTTAACATTTTGTATTTTATGTTGTAATTTTTTTTTATTTATACAATAATATTGAGAAGTAAGTATAATTATGCGTTTAAGTCAAACAACTACATCACTTTACAATATAAATGAAATATATTTAAATTAAGCAATAAAATTCATATATTTAGTAAAAATCGTAATATGATCGAGTTATTTCAGCTATAACAATAAAACGATCGATACAATGAAATATTTTTATATTTTTTTTTGTGAGAGCGCTAATTTACGAGTTAATTGCTAAAAACTAAAAAAGTACCCCTTTTGGTCGATTTTCAACCCCAAATCGGCACGGGTTAAACTTATCTGATCGGCCTAAAATTTTTTGTAGCCACTTTTTATATGTATACACACAAATTTGGGTGGTGAGCCCGAAGAATTTCCGAAATTTTCAAAATAAAGGATACACTAATATATATATTAAATAAGCTTTAATTTAAAATATATATATAAAAGTGTCTATATTTTCAGATCATTTATAAAAGTTAAGTTGAATAAATTAATTTTTTGTGCCTATTTTTAAATTTGTAATTATTTGGGGGGTAATTCCCATTTATGAAGAATGAGGGAAATTTTTTCAATTTTTATCCATAATGTTTTAGACTAAATACGATTTGTAATCTTTTGACGTATCGTTAAAAGAAATCGATTTGGTGAGAAATAAGAAAAAAAGATAACAAACCAAAAAAAAAAAAGTAAACATATCATAGTAAAATTAATAACACCTTCTCAGCTACACATCGAAGCTACTGAATTCATGTTCCATTTTAATTGTTAACCAATTAAATTAAAATCAAAGGCAGAACCAGATCAAAGTGAGCAAGATGGTGCGAAAACCTTAGGGTCCATCTTGAATTTTACTAGCCTAATCATGATTAATGACAAAGTATTTCTAGTTTTTTTTTTGCTCATCGCTTTTAAGTTAGCGATATTTTTTATAGGGGAACCCAATTTAAGGTACTGTCCCGGAGTCCGCTGAAGAGAGCATTCCGCTCTCGTCAAAGGACATACAATATGAAGTGAATATAATACAATTCTTTCAAATTTGATTAGCATTCTATTTTAGCTTCAATGCGAAGCTGAGAAGGTATGGGTTTTACTATGATGTGTTTTTTTTTTTGTGTCTTACCACTTTTTCTCAGCTCTCACTGGACCGATTTCTTTCAACAATACGTCAAAAGATCACAAATCGTATCTAGTTGAAGACATTACCCTTAAAAATTAAAAAATTTTCCCTCGTTCCCCGCCAATGGGGGAAATATCCAAAAAAATTACAAATTTAAAAATCGGTAAATTTTGTCATTTTTTTCACTTTTTCTTCTTAAAACTTCCATAACTTTTTCAAAAATAAACAAATCAACATAATATTTTTTTATATTGAAACCTTAGGTAATTTCCTTTCGTTTGATATCATTTTTTTGAAAATTTAACACTTAACCTGCTCATTGAGTGGGATTTAAAATAGCAACTTTTTTACAAAAACTAACTTTTTCAACTTAATTTTTGAAAATGTTCCAGAAATACTGCGTCCTTTAAACATATATCAAATTAAAGCTTATTTTATGTAATATAAAATGAAAAAAAAAATTTGTCCCGACGACCTATCTTCTATGCGCAAATGGCTACCGTATTCAAAAATATGCTATTTTTCTATTAAAATTCTAGGTTTTGTATTTTATTTTATTTTAAAATATCTTATTAGGAGAATATATTGACTTTCATGAGTATTATATAATTTAATTGACATAGAACAAAGGTCATACGACATATGAAATTAAACTTATTAAATTTTTTTTATTTTTTTATTTTCATATTAAATTTAATAATTATAATTAGTATTTATTCATATATTATATTTTAAAATCAAAGAGCTACTAATTAGGATATAATCAAAGAAATAAGAGTTGATGTTGCTTTTGGAATAATTCTCCAATTTCTCTAAATGAAACACTATCTACAGATTTGCTTCGAAGCGTTTCCTATGATAGTGATTTTAATCACTGTCAAATATCATCTATACTTGTCTCATCTATGCCTTGTCTAGACTGTGTCTCGACCCCACTGTGCTATCGTTTTTTATTAATTAATAATATGAAAAAATACTTATTTCCATTATAAAAATGTTAATTAGAAAACTAATACATAAAAAATCTATTCTTTAAAAGGAATAAAAAATTTACTGCCGAAACCCGGGATCGAACCAGGGACCTTTAGATCTTCAGTCTAACGCTCTCCCAACTGAGCTATTTCGGCTATACATCAATTAAGTATTTCAATATAATCTAAGCTGATTTTGAATTATTATCAATTCAAATATAGATCGTATGTCGTTACCATAAAAATTTAGCACAATGAAGGTTTTTAATTAGGGCTTAAAGATTATTAAGTTATAATAACGTAATAATTTAAAGTTTAAAAACAAAAAAAATATTGAAATTGAAATGCTAAAAGAAATTTTTACCAAAAAAAAAAAGAAAATCAGTTACAAATTAAAATCCCAGCAATGTAACTTGAAAATAGTCCATAGAATGAAATGAGAAAATTTTTTAGGGGATAATATTTTTTTCATATAAATATAGCGGGGGATAAAGCCCTTGTCCAAAATACCACCCCACAAGTATCCTTGTTTTTTTACGTGATTATTATAATATATTATATTACATTAATACCACATTAAATTTATAAAATTACACCTAAATAAATAACTTCTTTTTATTCAAATAGAACGATGGATTTAGCATTCTAAAAACAAAAATTAAACACTTTATAACCATGAGCTTAAAGCATAGCACATAAATAGGAGATCAATCGAACCAGCGAGACTGTGAAAATATGATCAAAAACAAAATTAATAATAATAAACCAACATGTTAAAATTAATGCATCCTCAGCTAAAATATGTAAGCAAATAAAGAGCAGCCAATGTTAAGAGGACGTCACATAGAACGTAAAACGTATTCAACGCTCCAGAGATAACGTTGTTTTCCTTATCTGCGATGACCACGCCCTCCGTCATTTCAAAATAACCGCTGCGCACAATCGTCGATCGGAATCATTGCATCAATTGTAGATTGACTGTCTTACGTTGCATATCATTCAGTAATACTAGTTCGCGTTTTATTAGTAACATAATATCATTGAGTATAGATATCTATACTAAATGACAGTGTTGGGAAAGTTCCTTTTTAAATGGAACTCGTTCCAGATCCTAGTTCTTTATATTAAGAAGGAACTTGTTCCAGATCCTAGTTCTTTATATTAAGAAGGAACTTGTTCCAGATCCAGTTCCTCCAAAATAAGAACTCGTTCCACTCTTCGTTCCTTTTATGTAACCAAGTTATTTAAAAAATTGTGGCAATGAGATCATGATAACGGTCATCAATGATTTTCATCAGCAGTCGAATACAAAACAAATTTGTAGTATTCCTTATCTAAAAGTATTCGAAAATTATATTTATAAACAGGTAGTAAATGCTAACGACTTGTGTCAACGCGACCAATGTCTATTGTCTACATATAAGTTAGAAATAATAAATCAGAAAACCCAAAACCTTTAACATATATTAGTTAACAAGAAACGACGATAATATTCGGTGCATTATTTAATATATGTACACATATATTAAATATTTACTGTATACCTACATGTGATAATAACTCTATAGTCAATTGATTCATTTAAACAGCCTACGATCTCGGCTGGGTATATAGGGGACTTCCATTGTCAAAAGTCAACTAAAAATACTTTGATATTTTAATGTCTAGATACGAAGAAAACTACACTAAAACATGTTTATAAAAATTTTTAGGAACTGTAATTTCCGTTCACGTTCCTTAAAAAATGGAATTTGTTCATTTTCCTCGTTCCTTTATTTTAAAAGGAAGCAATTCCTTCAAAAATAACTCGTTCCAGGAATCCGTTCCTTTTGGAACCAGTTCCTTCTCAACACTGCTAAATGATAATACTCGCGCGCAGCTAAAAACTATTACACTTTCTGTAGTGCTTAATTTTCCTATGTTTATTAAAACTTCAACGTGTTATGTGGTTGATTTTTATTTAAACCATATAAAATCGAAAATTTTTATCGAAAATCGTACGTTTTTCTTTAACTTTGAAGTCTGTTTTCACCACGAAGACAAGTCCAGAGGTCAATTTTTTTTTTTAATAAAGTATATTACTTAAGCTTTAATTTAAGGTATATATGAAAGTGTTAGTTTTGAAAAGTTAATTTTTTGTGAAAAAGTTGCCTTTTTGAAACCCCCCTACGAGCAGGGAAAGGGTCAAATGTTCACATAAATATATCAAATGATAGCTAAATACTTAAGGTATTTATAAAAAAAAATTATATTGATTTGTTCTTTTTTAAAAAAGTTATGGCAGTTTCAAGAAAAAAAATTAATACCTTCTCAGCTTCGCATCGAAGCTAAAAATTGGAAAAATGTCAAAATTACTAATGTTTAACCCTTTAGGAGGCGCGTGCCTTTTTAACGTTTTTAACGTTCATAGTCGTGTGGGGGTCTATCAGACCCCATTACTAAAAAAGTATAAAATATCTATAAAAAATTTCATTTTTTTTAATTAAAACACATTATTTTTACTATATGATGTATAAATATAGATAAAAATTAAAAATTAATAAATTACAAAATTATTTGCATTAATAAAAATTATATTACAAAAAAAAGAAAAAACTTAATTTTCAAAATTTCATTAAAAAATTTTGGTTTGTTAAAAAATGATTTTAACTGTAAAATCTTATTTTTAAGACGGTAAACAAAAGTTTTTACTATTAAAAAATGTATTTTAATTAATTTTTCTTGTATTTCTTTGAGCTCAAACACGGCTTATATTTATTAGTTTTATGTGTATTTACATTTATATAATCATTTTTCTGAATTGAATTTTTTTATTATTAATATTTCAATACATTTAATTATTATGATACGAGTATATACAATTATTCGTTCGTAGTAGCACATTGATTACCGATAATCAATGTGTCCACATTGCGACGCGATGTATTTATTACATGTTTTGTTCTTATTTGTTCCGTATCATCGAGTAGTGGAAATTCTCAATAGATTATTTATTTTTAAAACTTAATTGTACAGTCAGTAGCAGATCCACATAATTCCAATTCTACAATATCGATTATAACATTGCATTTACGATAAAACGATATTTTGAAAAAAATACAAGTCCAATATGACCCATTTCAATATTGATGAATATTTTAAGTCATACATTTTTTTTTCGAAGGTATTTATTTGTGAATTCGATTCAATATTACTATAAAAACCATCTTCTAAATTTATATCTATGTACACCTTTTATGCAATATAATACATCCGTTTTTATTTATGTGGGGGTATGCTAGACCCCCACGCGACTGTTTAAGGGTTAAAATTTTAATTCTTTTGGGGATTTCCTCCATTTACAGGGAACGAGGGAATTTTTTTCAATTTTTAAGGGTAATGTCTCGACTAGATACGATTTATGATCTTTTAACGTATCGTTGAAAGAAATGAGAGTGAGAGCTGAAAAAATGTAGTAACAGACACAAAAAAATAATAATAAAAATAAACATATCATAGTAAAATTAATACCTTCTTAGCTTCGCATCAAATCTAAAAAAACAATAGTCGAAAATGCATACAGCAAAAAACCGCTTAGATCAGGTTATATAAACTTGCTGAATACTATTGATGTATAAGTATTAGTTGGTGACTACTTCTTACAGAAAACTTATTGATTATTTTATCAGTTTTATTAGTTCAAGAAACGCAAATATAAGAAAATAGTTGGCCTGTAATGTTTTGGTATAGATCCATTATTTCGGTTTAAAGAAGCTTATACACTAGGCGTTTAATATAACAGCGTTCGCGTTTTAATAAATGCGAACGCTGTTTATGTGCATACTGCAAGCGTTTTAACGCGTCTTTATAAAGAAAATTAGCCTGCCAAAAGCTACAGTATAATCACAACAGTTTCAAAATTCCTCATGTTAGCATTTGCTCTAATTATTCTTTTTATTTTTTAAAGTATTAAATAAGTTTCAATGAAGACATTAGGTGATATAGAAGTTGCATTCGTTGTGTACGCCATGTATCATCGTTAGAAAGACAAAAATTAATAAAAAAAATTAATGTTTGTAGAAATTGGATCTACCCCAAAATTTAAAAAGATCTCGAGAAGGTTAATTGCGAGTTATATACATACAATAATAACTAAAGAATAAACCCAACCCAGCCAAAAAAATTACATAAAAGAATTATTACATATTTTATATGATAAATTATATCTTATATAATATGATCTATTATAACATGAGAAGTTTAAAAGTATTCAATCAACAACCTCTTAAAAATTATCTCTAGGATCGACCATATTGTAACCAAAATTATTTTGGCAAAATAATATGTTAAAACTACGTTAATGTTTGCTAAAACAGCTTTGTTATAAAGATGTTATGTATTGTAAGTATAATTTAAAAAACTAAGGTGGTCCTAATTTTAAATAATATATATTATTTAAAATACCACTAAACATTTGATGTTTCCAACATCTCTGGAATATATATTTCTTGTTACTTTTAAAACATCACACTGCAATGTTTCAAAATAAATCAAAAGCTGTTTCATTGCAACTGCCCGTAATATCTAACTTTGTTTTATTTGTACGTTTTAAATTTTACTGACCTACGATATTTCTCAATAACATCTTAGTGATGTATGTATTTTGCTGTCAAAAATTATTATTTTAAGAATTACCAACTATTATATTATAATTAGACATAATTCGTTTTGTATGGTTTCACTGGAGACGCATCCTGTTGATTCGTGTGTGTGTTAATATTCTTTTTGTCAGCCGTTTAATGTTAAATATGGCCGTTGAATTTATTTGCAGCATTCGCATGTGTAATTATAATAATTTTTTTAAATTACTGTGTGTTAGAAATAACAATATTAAATCTATCAGATGTACAGTTTTGTCGTTGGCCTCCCTTTAAGGTTACAAGCGTTGAACTTTTTAAATCTGATGGTCCTGGGGAAAAAATATTATAAAAATATTGAATAATAAAATATATGGTTAGTACTTCGTATTTTCATATAAATTTTTAAACTTTTTATTATGTTAGAAATAATTAAAACGAACAAAATGAACTTTATATTGGTATATTACTTGTAATTCAAATTTTAATTGTTTTTGTTTACATAGCAAATTTTAAAAAACCATGGCATCAGCATGTTAAAATTGAAATCTCTGCTACAGAAAATGAGTGTGATGCACCAAAAAGAAAAAAAAAGCCAAAGAAGTTCATCTGTTGGTAGTGATTTTGAAGGTAAACCTATTATTTTTATACTTCTATTATTTCTTTGAAAATACGATATTGTTATAATTTTCTATTTAGATTGTAGCTTATCAATAACACCGATCAAGAAACATGTATCAAGAAATTTTACTGAATTATTGACAAGGAAATCTGAAGATTTAGAATATGAACTGCAATTTAGTACATTACATGCTATAGAAATCGTAGCTAGTTCATCAGCATCATGCATAGTAATTTAGATTATGAACTACCACCTGTATCATCATCTGCTGTACAAATCACTGCTAGTTCCTCAGCCTCATGCATATCTGATAATGTTATAAATAAGGTAATATAATAGCCATTTTATCTAATTTAAGTACTGAAATAATTCAATTTTAATTTGAAAACTCAAATATTATGTTATAATATAATATATTATATCTATTATCAGTGTTATATCCAATATCCAGTGATCTTTATATCTATTAAATAATAATAATAATATTAATTTATGTAATCATTTATTAATAGTTCAATTAATCAAGATAATATTAACAATCAATGAATTAAATGTGTTATAAAAATTGAACTTTTTAAATTGTAACTAGTAAAATATTAATACATCAAATTTATATATTATAATATTACTAAACAAAATTAGTACTTGAACCAATTTTTTTTTTATGTGTACTATATTTTTCTAATTAGTAGCAGGCAATAATTCAGGTTGAACATGCTAATGAAATGCAGATATACTCATATGAACCAGATATCCCTTGTAATACCTTATACGATAATACCGGTGAGTGCAGTTATACTTTAAAATTTAATTGTTTTAAAAGTGATAAAAGTGGATCAAATTAAATTGGAAGAATGGAACTTCTTTTGTAAGTCATAAAATATTGCTTACATAAAAAAATTTATGTGGATGGCTTTTTTTCTAATATTATTGATTTAGTTATGTTTAAAACATTATAATATATAAATTAATTAGGTATTAATAGGAATTTATATATTTTTTTCTAAGTCATGATATGCTAAATTTCTAAAAAAATACCAATTACAAATGCAATATATTTAAGTACAAGTGGGTTAAATAATTTTAAACTACCACTCGACTATTGACTACATCTTTCATTAATAAATTTATTAATCAGATTCTTTTCTATTATTATAAACTATTGAAATATGTATTTTAGCTTAGATGCGAAGCTGAGAAGGTATGGGTTTTACTATGATGTGTTTTTTTTTTTTGTGTCTTACCACTTTTTCTCAGCTCTCACCGAACCGATTTCTTNTTTTTTTTTTTTGTGTCTGTTACCACTTTTTCTCAGCTCTCACCGAACCGATTTCTTTCAACGATACGTCAAAAGATCACAAATCGTATCTAGTCGAAGACATTACTCTCAAAAATTGAAAAAAATTCCCTTGTTCCCCGTAAATGGAGGAAACCTCCAAAAAAATTACAAATTTAAAAATCGCTAATTTTCGAAATTTTTTCAATTTTTTTTACTAAAAACTGCCGTAACTTTTTCAAAAATGAACATATCAATATAATTTTTTTTTTTATAGATGCTTGATTTCTTGACCTATTATTTGGTATATTTTTTTTGTAAATTTGACACTTAACCTGCCCACAGGAAAATATTTAAAATGACAAATTTTTCACCAAAAATTAACTTTTTCCACTTAACTATTGAAAATGTTCCAGAAATACTGCGTCCTTTAAACATATATCAAATTAAAGCTTATTTTATGTAATATAAAATGAAAAAAAAAATTTGTCCCGACGACCTATCTTCTATGCGCAAATGGCTACCGTATTCAAAAATATGCTATTTTTCTATTAAAATTCTAGGTTTTGTATTTTATTTTATTTTAAAATATCTTATTAGGAGAATATATTGACTTTCATGAGTATTATATAATTTAATTGACATAGAACAAAGGTCATAAGACATAAGAAATTAAACTTATTAAATTTTTTTTACTTTTTTAAAGTCAAAAAAGTAATTTTTATTTTTGATTTAGCTTAAATAGCCAATTTTTTAACTTCGATGCCAATTTTTTATATGTAAATACTAATTTTTAATAATATTAAAACTTTGAAATGAAAAAAAAAGTCTAATTGCAGATTTGAAAACATTGCAAAAAGTTGATTTAGAATGGTATATTTTTGTTACTAATGAAAGTTCCTTGTAGTTGAGTGCATTTATTTATAGTAACAAACAGTTTTTATTGAAATTTATTGTATCAAGCCCTTTAAATTTTTATACACGTAAAAATAAAGCAAAATACAACTTCTTTATTATTTTTATAATTTCTCTGTTTAAATATCAATTTTATACTAAATTTAATAATTATAATTAGTATTTATTCATATATTATATTTTAAAATCAAAGAACTACTAATAAGGATATAATCAAAGAAATAAGAGTTGATGTTGCTTTCGAAATAATCCACCAATTTCTCTAAATGAAACACTATTTACAGATTTGCTTCGAAGCGTTTCTTATGATAGTGATTTTAATCACTGTCAAATATCATCTATACTTGTTCCATCTATGCCTGTCTACACTGTGTCTCGACCCCACTGTGCTACCGTTTTTTATTAAATAATGGCTAAAAACGACGTAAAAGACTTTTTAATAGCTTATATTCCAGCTTGGGACTTATATTCCAATATATTCCCGTTTTTGAAGGTAAGTTTTACATTTATTATTTTTAAATTAAAATTTAAAATTTATGAAATATTAAAATAATTAAAAAATGTTAACTAAACAAAAATTAACGGGATGCAAATTTTAAACTATTACATCAAACTAAAATGAATTAATCTAAAACACGTATTTCAAGGCGTGTTTATAAATGCATTATGTAATTTTAAACAAGGTAAATTATTCAAGCTAATTTATCATTTTTTCCACACACGTAGAAAATATATTGTAACATGAATTTTGTTAACAAAAAAAAATATAATTTCATCAAATAAAGTAATTTATAAAATTATGTTACATGAGTAGAAAATGACATTGACTTGAATACTTTGGCTTTATTAAATCCTGATATGGTAAAATCTTATACCTTCTATTGGTCATAGGGCTAGATTCATGTCAAACCTTGAAGATTGGCGATCAATAATTTCAGGAACCCAAGATGATACTGTGAGCCTATATTTAAATTTTTTTTAAATTATTTAAACATTAAAATATATTTAAATTTTGGTGGCATAATGACCAATATTATAAAATATCAATTTTATCATTGCTGTAATAAAATTATTGAAAAATCATATTTCTAGTCTAGCGATCAAGCGTCGAGTAGTTCGCTTTCTACACCAACTTATGAAAATATATTAATGAATCGCATTGATAGTTATAGCAGTTTATCTGAGGTAAAATAAAAAGTTTATTATTTTTTCTTTTAAAGAGGTAATATAAATGTGATGGCTTAAGTGAATTTTTAATTAAAAAAATTGAGCTAAACATTTTTAGTGTCTGTTAATTACACTTTGTTAAACAAAATATTTTTAATTTTTACTTTTATTGTGTGTTCATTTGTACTGAACTATAAAAAATATTTCTCATATTAAAGAAGACGGAAAAATAATTATTAAATAAATAATTTTCTTTCAAATTTTTCCAAATAAATAATTGAGTTTCATATTTTAGATTGCTGTCACATCAGATTCAGCCTCGTATAGTGATTCAATATACACTAATCTTGGTAAAACATCACCTTGTATTGAACCACTTACTTAAGCTAGCACAGATATTGAGCCTAATCATTCAACATCAATTACTGAAATACCAAAATCAGTAAGATATAATTTATTGAATTTAATAAATTTATTGGTATAATTGTTTTAATTATTTTCAATAATTTATTTTTATAGTTGGGTTAAATCACTACATTTAATGCAAATTTTCTCTGAATTTTATTTAGAAATTTTACTAAACTGACTTAATCTTAATAAGCTTTTAATTTTTAATTTTTAATTTCTTGTTAAAAAATATATTTTTACATGATATTATAAACTTATTTATTTATTTTATATAATAATTGTTATGTTTTATTTATTGGACTGTTAATAAATACTAATTTTATAAACTTATTTTTTTCAGGAGGATTTACAGTTACTTCAAAGTTCTAATGAGGGAAAAGCAATATTAGTAACCTACCAAGAAACTGGGCTTCTTGATAGTATTGGACGGAGAAGATTGTGCCATATTATTATCAATAATGAACTTAAAGATAATGTTGACCGTAAAGTTTCTTCTACAAGATAACATGAATTAGCTTACCAAATTCCCACTATTTTTAAAAAAGAAAACACCTCTACTTATTTTATTCCTTACATTTCATATGGTCCAAAATTAAAAAAAACTGCAAAAGGGAAACTTCTTGAATGCTTAAATAATCGCAAGTCTGGGCTTATTGGTTCTTCCAGAAGTAACTCACCATCATTGTATGGTAGTTCTTCTCCAGGTCTTCATTTATCAGAAGTATTGCAATGGTTCTTGAACAGTGAAACTATTGATCCAATTAACGTTGAAGATAATTGTATATGGTTACAAAATTCAAATGATCCATGGGATTTAGTTGAAAAAAATTGGTCAATAACTGCTAATTATAAACTTCAAAAACTGTTATCAAATGATGGAGAATCTATTGCGGAATATATGGCTTTGTACCCAGCATTAAAAACATCTATTGGCTATACACTTGTACGTAATATAAACAGTAGAATAATTTTATTAAAAACACAAATTATACTTTTAATTTTCTTTTAGTTCTTAAAAGATTTTGATATAGCATACCCAACATACAGTGATAAGTTATTTATTAATTTTCCAATTTTTAAGAACATAATATTTAACTCAAATAGTTAACTCAGCTAACTCAGCTAAGGAAAAGTCGAAAAAAATCGAGAGAACTCACAATTAATGAACGCTTAAAAAAATATATAGAATTAAGTTCTGAAGGTCTGTTTATTTTTTTTTTAATTAATTCAATTCAACACATTTTTTTTCAATACTTATTAATACATATCTTAATCAGTGGCAGATCTAGTGGGAAGGCACAATTGGGCGGGTCACCTCCTTTAACTATCATTTACTACTTAAAAAAATGCATAATTGAACGATATAGTAAACAGAAAAATTGATTGTCTAGAAACTTTTTGTGCCCCCCTTTTAAATATTCTGAATCTGCCCCTAATATTAATGAACAGCTAGATGAATATTTCTTTATTCATTTTCTAAATATAATTGAATAATTTTAGAAGATCATGAAGTATCCAATATTACTGCCCTTCTTTGTTTGCCATTTCTTATAACAGCAATCAGTTCAGAGGGAAAAAAAACAATGGCGACCATCAAAACTTGAGATGCAGGAGGGTTTTATTACACATCTACATAGTAACGCAGAAGTTGAAGAAACACTTACCCGAAGAAGAAATAAATT